AGGCCCGACCTATGTCCAAACTGCATAACATCGTTCGACAAAACAAGAACAAACGATAGGGCCCGACGTGGAAACCTCGATCGAGCTCCACCGTCGAAGTACCTGTAGGGCAGAACACTCAGCTCGCGATGGGCAGTTCACGCTGCGGGCAAAAAACCCCGACTCGGGTCATACACCCGACCAAGCGGTTTCGCTCCGCACGCCCGACGAATCTCGAGGAACGTCAGGACATCTAAAAGGGTCAAAAGGAAGTCTCTCCCCTCGAGGTCACCGCCTAGGCGAATCCGACCACCGAGAAGAAGCCGAGCATAGGCACGAACAAAGGACTTAGGCAAATTTGCCAAAGTCACAACCCCGTACGAGCACGACTCGGGCCCATAACTTGGGCCAAATTTAGCACAAAAATGTTAAACACGAACACGGGAAAACAATCAAAAAATTGAAACAAACATTCATTCAAAATGCCCGTAGGCAACAAAGCAAATAGATGTAAACCGACCAAAAAGGCCGGCAATGTTTAGGAAATACAAAGAACGGGCACGCAGGCCCAAAAAATATGAACGGGCACGCAGGCCCAAAACAAACATCAACGAGGCGCGCAGGCCCCATCATTATCTCACAACTCAGCTTCACCGGAGCTACCATCACCAACAACAGGAGATTCGGGCGGAGGCACGACCTGACCATCAATAATCTGAGACATATGGCTCACCCCTTCGAATATCAGGCCGAGATTCAACAGGGAAAGCTGGCTGACCGCGGCTTCAAAGCCGTCTGCCATAGCTCCGACACAGTCCTCCTCGAGAAGTTGGATACGAGCGACCAGTTCCGATCGACTCCTCAAAGGAGCTGTATCCTCTGACTCGTCCTCGACGAGAAGCATATCAGCCTTTAGGTCCTCGATCTCTCTGGCGAGACGCCCGTTGTCAATTTCCAGACGTTCCCAGTCCGCACGAAAAAGGTCTCTCTCCTCGGCCAGCTTCCCCGAGTTCTCCTTCTCCAGAGCCAGCAACTCTGTCTCCGCCGCCAGCAGCTCGGCTTGCTCGCAGAACATCTCCTCGGAGCGCTCCATAGCAGCCTTCAACTTTCGCGAACTCGAGGTGAGGGCAGCTTTCTCCTGTTCCAACTCTTTGATACGGTCAGCGTCCTCCCCCTCCTCGGCCAGCACAACGGCCATCTCGTCCATCTTTACCAGCCCGACCATATTGGAGGCCAGGTGCCTTCTCCGGTTTTCCTTGCTCATCCGCCTGATAGTTTCGGCTTCATCGGCACTCACGGACAAGGGAAATCCCTCGAAGAAACCCTCCTCTTTAAAGCAAGGGGGCAACCCGAAGGACCTCACAACGCTGGAGTCCTCACCGACCTCCGGTTGACCTTCCACCCGATTCCTCTTCCTCTGTATCAGGTCGGTGTGTGGCTCGACCTCCTGGACGTCCGGAATCCCTCCCGAAGCAGCCCCCGAGCTAGGTGGCGAGTCCACCCTCGTCGCCTGAGAAGTGCCCGGGCTATGTGGCGGGCCTATCCTCGTCGCCTGAGGAGGTCTCACCACCCTTTTATTCACCTTCCTGTCACAAGACAACTTCAAGAGCCTCTCCCTTCGTCCGGTCATCGAACCTGCACGAAAGAACCCCGGGTTAGTGACGAGCAAATAAGCGAATAAATAACAAGTAAAGAAATTCAACAAGACAAAACAATAACGACCTAGCAAATTTGCAGCCTGCCCGAAGGACTGGCACTCCACAAGTGCCTTTGTGTCAATCGGTCGGGCCTCGAAGGTCGGATAACCTTCCTCGTCAAGAATATCCTCCCCTTCCCTCGTGGCCCATCTGGCGGGGAAGAAACTATCGACATACCGACAGAGAGTACCATAAGCCTTCTCGTCTTCGGAGCTCATCTCACCCGCGGACGTATGGTAGTACCCGGTCCCATGCTCGTAGTGCCTCGAGGTCCAATGCAAGAGAAATTTGGCCACGCGCCCTAACACCGGATGTCCCTCGTCGTCCAAAAGAGCTTCCCCGTGGTCGTCGGTTATGACTGTTTCCTCCTTATACACAGACTCCAAACCTGCTGTGATAACCGGCCTCACAATATACCACTTGTCCTTGAAACCCCGCACAGAATCCATGTACATCCTGAAAAGTCTCTTCGACTGTTTCAGGGAAACCCAACTATGCTTACCTCCCCGGGATTGGCGCTGTAGGTGGAAGACTCTGAAGAAGAGGGGTATGGTCGCCCCGATCCTTAGAAACCGACAAGTTAGCTCGAACGCCCGGATGAAAGCGAGCGAATTTGGGTGAAGCTGCGACGGGGCCAGCCCCAGATGGCTGAAGACCCCGAACTGAAAATCGCTGAAGGGCAGCTGCAACCCAAGGTCCTTGAAGGCAATTTCATACATGGGGAATCCATACTCAGGGAACTCCGAGCAGATTCGTGCGGTGAAAGTTGGTCGAGTGACGACGAAGTTCTTCTGGAAATCGGGCTGGCTACTGCCCGCCTCGAGGATGGTGTATGCCCTTCGACTACGTCGACTATAGGCCGAAGCTATCCCTCTGGGCTCGGCACCCACCCATTCCAGCAGAGGATCCTCTATGGTGTCAACCAAATTCACATTTTCATCAGCACTTTGTTCTTCCACATCGGTGCGCCCTGAAGAACATGGTTCGTCCGCCATGGTTACCTACAAAGCACGGGAAACCAATCAATTGGGAGCGAAACCACACGCTCGCCATAACGAACGAGATGAAGGGCACGACAAACCACGTCGCTCCACGCGCGACCACAAAGTTGGTGTTTCGGAACAAAAAGAGCAGTCACCTCCCCGACTCCCAGTTACCACGACAAGCTACAGATCACCTGAATAGGCCAACATCTCGACCACTCACGAATGTGTCGACCCAGGCTACGAACGTGGCGAACGACATCATGGGTCTCAAAACTAGAGCCATGAGTTTACCGGGCACTACCAAGAATTAGGCGCCCTGAGTCATGAAGTCCCCGGGCAGCACTGCGAGTCAAATACCTAAACTATGCGTTTATCGGGCGCATACACGCGTTCGCCGGGCATAAACATAGATTTGTCGAGCTAAATATAAATCTACCGGGCTAATCCCAGGCTTACAGTCTCTAAAACGTCTAAAAACAATGAAAACCATGCATCACAGAGGAAAAACGAAGGAGACAAGACACTTACTTGGAATCAGGAAGGTAATGTGACGACAGAGAAAGGAAATCAGCGACGGAGATCACGGCGGTCTATGAGTATCTGGGAAGAACATCAACAGTAGAAACAAAGTGAAGAGGAGAAGCGCGAACAGGGAAAACACGTTCTGGGGCCCAAACAACCTATTTATAGTGATGACGTGGAATACCAAACGTCACCCCGGGGAACCACAGAACTTCCCTCCTCGACGTGTAGCTCCCCTAGGCAATGATGACCCTATCGTCAGTAGGGTGGCGGCACAATTCCCAAGAGATACCTCATGTGCCCAACGAACGCAGCCCGTCGAGACTCCCCGAGCGCTCCTCGCGCGGCGTCATCTCGTATGCCCGACACGGGAACAACATATTCTAGCCGGGAACGGGACCCCATGACGCAGGCGACCTAAGATCAAGTCATGACTCCTACTACATGAACCACGACTTGGGGGGCTCCTGTTCTGGACTGGGCCGGGCTGGCCCAAAAGCAATGGTGAAGGCCCAATCCAAACGGTCTTGCAAAGGGTCACGCCGACCAAAAGGCCATACCCTTGCCCGACACTTTCTGCTAGTACGACGTCCTCGACTCCATGCTATCCTGCTCGACCTCAGCTCGAGCACCCCTCCTAGGGCAGACTCCATCCACTACGCCATCACCTGGATCCCGAAAAGACCGCGTCCTCATCCGTCCGCACTTCACGCAGGACATCCAGGAAGGGGACCACGTGCGGATCCCCACTACGCACGTAGAACCCGACAGTTCCTCCATTGGACCAAACCTGTCCGACCCAATGAGGGAACCTTGGCCCAGCGTTGGAGGCTATAAATATCCTCTGTTCCCAGAGGGTCAGATATTCATTCTTTTACCCATACTCATACTCTTGCCTGCTCGCGCTCTTACTTACTTCAGCATCGAAGTGCCTTGCAGGTACCCCCCACCTCGTTCAAAACTTCAGCTCGGAGCCAGCCGTGACGGTCCAAGTCTGATCAAGTTAGATCAAATTTAGTGAATAAATTTCCAATTCATAAAACAAAGGCCCCCCTTAGTTTCTCATTCCTCTTCTTTTTCTATTCAATCATCCACCATTTTTATTAATCTTAAATATTGTCTTTCCTTCGTGAGACTCATCTTTTGTTTTGTTATTCTTCTATAGATTTCTGAATCCTTTGGGATTTTCGGTTGAAAAACTAAGATTTGTGATATTGTTTATTCTAACTTTTGATTTATTTTTCTTTTTTAGATGCATGTATATATACAGAAAAACATGAGAGGTAACCGGGTTGAAAAATTATTTGTATTTGAATTTCAAATATTTTCTTACATTTTTTTATATTTATGGAAAATATTTAGTATTTAATATTTATTTAACATTTTTTCAACTCTTCATTACAATTGAATAATATTGGATTAATTCTTAGGCGTTTTATCATTATTCATTGTATTATATGTTTTTGATGTCTATCATTTTGATATGAATTGTGATTTATTTATATTTTTATGTATTATATAAAAATTAATAAATCTTTAATTTTTTTAATCTTTTCATTATTATCTTTAACCAAATATTATGAAATTTAATGTGTATATCATTTTGTTGATTCTAATAATCTTTTTCTTTATTATATAAATTTTCATAGCACTTTCTTCTATTTACAACGCTCTATTTACAACAGTATCGGAGAAAAATGTAATATTTAGATTTTTTTAATTCAGTCACAGGCCCATTGTTATTTGTTAGATTGTTACAACAGTATCGAAAACCCTAAACCCTAACTCATTTCCTGAACTCGCTCCACTCGCAACGATGGCAACCCAGATCTTCTTCCGAGTCTTCCCCAAAACCCAAACCGTAACTTCCCTCTTCTCTCGCTTACTCTCCACCACCACCACCACCACCACCACCACAGTCACCGTCCCCTCTTCATCTGCCAACTCTCTCCTTCGCCGACTCCGCCCTCTTTCCACCGCTTCCCTCACCTCCCGCCGTGTCCTCGTTCTCCCTAACTCCTTCCGCTCCTTCTCCACACGCGCTACCACCTCTTCACTCAACGACCCTAACCCTAACTGGTCTAACCGTCCCCCAAAGGAAACCATCTTGCTCGATGGATGCGATTTCGAACACTGGCTTGTGGTTATGGAGAAACCTGAAGGTGATCCCACAAGAGATGAAATCATTGACGGGTATATCAAAACACTCGCGCAGGTTATCGGTGGAAGGTAATCGTCGCAAAATTTGTCTCAATTTTCATTCTTTGTTTTTTAGTATTTTGCTCGGTTTTCTTCGGATTAAAACAAAAAGTAATTTTGGCTATTGGGTCTAGGAATATCTGTTAAAAATTGTGTTTTGCTGTATAATAAAATGATAGACATATGTTGAGAATAGTGACTCTGAAGATGTGTGTGAATGTATCGTTCTGTTTTGTTTAATCCCTTAGGTGCTGTGAACAGCTTTTGCTGCTTATAATATTTATGCTTATCTTGATAAGCACTTAATTGTAAGCTATTTCTATAACAAAATGTTAAATAAAGTGAAAATGTTTTTTGTGTAAGCTAAAAGCTGTTTTTCAATTGAAATATTGAAGAGCTAATAAAAAAAAAGAAGCTAAAAACATGAAAATGTCACAAGTTGTTTTCATAAATTCTCCAAGAACATTTCACTAGTGAATAGTGATTATCCCTGTAGATAAGCTCAAATAAACCAATTCAAACTGACCATTATTGTGAGTGGTTTGTTTTGTTGACAGTGAGGAAGAAGCAAGGATGAAGATATATTCTGTTTCAACTAGACACTACTTTGCTTTTGGAGCTCTTGTGTCTGAAGAGCTCTCCTACAAACTTAAAGGTATAGTACATAGTACTACTTTTCTTATGATTTTGTTTTTCTTTTATATTAAGGGTTTTGTACTTTTCAAATTGCAGAACTTCCCAAAGTTCGATGGGTTCTACCTGATTCATATTTGAATGTGAAGGAGAAAGATTATGGAGGTAAATTTTATTTTCCAGTCTCATGGCTTCTAATTATATTCATTCAATCCAAGGTGTATAAATATCTTCAACTGTGTGTCCGTATAGGGAATAGCATGCTCAAGACCCCTAGAGTAAAGTATAATAAAGTAGAAAGATAAAATGACCCGTTAAAGAAATGCTATGTAGATATTTAAGACTTTGGTGTAGGCATTCTAGAAGCATCACCTTATAGATAGATATAGCATAACATTTTACTCGATTATTCTAATCAATCAGTGTTGAGCTGTGTGCTCAATCTATATTTATCTATCACATAACCTTTTAATTCACCCTCCTTTAAAATGATCTGTTGCTTATATATAGATGAAATGAATGGATGTTTAGTGACCTTTTGTGGTACATGAAGTGCAAAAGTTCACCAGAGAATAGTCATTTGTTATTAACCTTTGGCTTGCACATTAGTTTATTGATTTTTATTGTTATTAACTTGAGCTCTAATATACTTGAGTTTAGTAATATCAGGTGGTACAATAAGTATACCATATATAGTCTTTCCATAGCATATCATATTTCTTGATGTAACATGGTCGCAATTTTAATTTGATACACACGGTGATCTTTTTTTGTTTCCCTCTCACCAGGTGAGCCCTTTATTAATGGGCAAGCTGTTCCTTATGATCCCAAGTACCATGAAGAGTGGGTTAGAAACAATGCCCGTGCAAATGAAAGGAACAAGCGCAATGACAGACCTCGTAATGCTGACAGGTCAAGAAACTTTGACAGGAGAAGGGAAAATGTGGTGAACAGAGATATGCAGACTAGGCCTCCAATGCAGAATCCTGGGCCTAATATGGCTGGTCCGCCTCACAATGCTGGTGGATTCCCTCCCAACAATGCAGGTGGGTACCCTCCTAACAACAATGCTGGTGGGTACCCTCCTAACAACAATGCCGGTGGGTACCCTCCTAACAACAATGCCGGTGGATATGCTCCATCCCCTCCTAGCAACCAAGGTGGATACGCCCCTCCAAATGCAGGCGGATACGCCCCTAACAACACAACTGGCGGTTACCCTCCTCCCAATATGGGTGGACCTCCTCCTAACATGGGCAGACCCCCTCCTCCTCCTAACAGTGGATATGGTATGCCTCAAAATAACTACCCTGGCAACAATGGAGGCGTGCAACAAAACCCAAACATGGGAGGGTTGCCTCCAAATGCAGGATGGGCAAATAATCAGTAGACTCTCATCAAATAAATTCAATTGTCTATGATGTGTTCTCGACAGTTGCTCCTCCATACCCTCTCAGGATGGTACACACCAAACTGTGAGCTAGTTATAATGGGGCCTTAACATTTTGTAAGAGTCTTGATTTGATCCACTTTTCTATTTAAGTGTGTGACTTGAAAAATGTTTGCTAGCTCAATTTTTTTAAAGAACATCAAAGGATGGAAGAACTTAAAATATGTCTACTTGAGAAGCTTTTCTAATGAGATAGATACAAACTGTGCAGTGTGTGTTTGGTAAGTTGTAAACATTTTGTTTACTGTGTAATTCACTTCATTGGAAATTTCTTAATATAATTTGATATTTATATACTCCCAGCAGGATCTAATTTAAAAATGGATAACCGCCCAACAATTTCTGTGATCAGTATCAATCACAAAAATGAATTGTGCGTACTTTTTAATGCTGCCTATTAGAACATCATTCAAGCCAACGGCATTACATTCATGAGTGACCAAAAAACATAAATTAATAAAAGCAATAGATCATCGATGAAGCTAAGGGTATGTTTGAATTGGCGGGGTATTTTTGTAATGGTGGATATGTTAAGAATAAAATGAAGCGATATAGAATTAGATTTTATTGTTTAGATTTGTAAAAATTAGATGTAGCATAATAATAAAATATGATGAAATCTATTTTATTTCATCTACTCTTTGCAACAATTTATAAGTAAATTTTTTTTTTGATATATTTGATAATTAATGTATTTAGTTCATATATAAATTAGATATATTAATTATATTTTATTTCATCTACTCTTCATAACGATTTATAAGTAAATTTAATTTTTTTGATATATTTGACAATGTATTTAATTCATATATAGATTAAATATATTAATTATTAAATATATAAAAAAAATCAAATTTACTTATAAATCGTTATAAAGAGTAATTCTTTAATTTTCATTCTTCTCGATTTGAAGTATATGTAATGGTATGAACTAATTCCATTATGTTTCATTATCCTATGCTCAATTCTAATTCATCAATTTAAATGACCTTTTTTTAAAGAAATCTAATCATGCTTTTTTAACAAATTTAATCATGCGTGTATTTGTTTACCGGGCAAATCAAACTAGTCTCAATAGCACGAGATCTAAACAACATTGCATCTAACCGGCGCCTCAGCCGATCAATGGATAACGACGACAATCAAAATTCGAGATATCCTTATAGTATCACAAAATTGAAATAAATCGTTTGATTTTTTTAAACTCAGAAAGTAATATATAATTGAATCTAAATAATGTAGGTTTTCCTTTGATATTGTAAACTATTGTTAGGTTATGATTTATTTTGGGTGCAATCTTTGTGAGTGATATATATAACAAGGAAAATACTAACCAGTATTTTAGGAGTATTTTTTAAGTGTTTAAAATAGTGTGATTTTTTAGAAATGTGTATAATCAATATATTGGAAATTGAAATAATTGATTTTTATAAAGAATATTTTCTTTATTGGATATTTTAAAGAGTGTTCTCAGAACACTTGGCTAACATGATCTATATAATAAATAAAAGACGTCAGTTATACGAATTTCAGTTTCGGTTGTTTCTCTATGTTTAAGTTAAGATAATATGTCTTTTGATTGTCAATTTGAGTATCATTTTTTTTAAATAATTTTTTGGTGGCTCATTATCTTGACTTCCTTCACCTTTCCATAGGTTGAGTTATCTGGTCTCCTTCATCCCTTGAACCCAATTTTAGGAACTTGCATTTATCCTCAGGTCTTTTAATTGAATGGGTTTCCTATTTCAATGAAGTTCCTTTCCATTTTTCTTGAGGTCGTTGACATAAATTTAGCCATATGTTGATCTATTGTATATGATGACGATCTTCCCATTTTTGCGAAGGAACTTCATTGCCAAATGATGCATTGATATGATGGATCCAATTGATTTAAAATTGGACGTTCGACGATGATGTTGTAAGTTAGCGTACCTTCCATCCTTAGCAACTTGATTTCAACTTACTCGAATAATACATACTTCTTCTGGCCATTATTATAAGTAAATATTTTTTTTTTAAGGTTAATTGAATAATGAATGTATCTGATCTTTTATGTAGATCAGATACATTTATTACTCAATGAACTTAAAAAGAGAATCTTTGCTTATAAATAAGGCCGGAGGGAGTACACTACAAAGATCACCTAGAACATTATGAATCACCTGACTTCTACACCGTCTTTTGAGAATTTCATGAGCATATCACTATATGGTTTTAAGATTGTCTCAAGTAATTCAAACTACTTATATGCCTGTTCAAATATGATGTTGGCCGAACTTACTTGGTCGATCAACCTCTTTTTGATGTTGTACTTCTCCATGCCTACGAAGATGACCATATGGTCATTCTACTGCCTGTATATACCTTTCTAATCTTTTCCAATAAATGTAATTAATGGTAAGATGTTTCCAACCCATGTGAGGGCTTTGATTAAATTCGTAACTCTAAGGTTCCTCTTTCTGTAATTATATGAAAGTTTCCTTCCCATAGGTTATGTACTAGTAAAAAAGTATATGGGGTGTGTGTTCTCACTATAAGGGTAGAGAGAATCAGAGGACTTTGTAGGTATAAAACACGTTTGAATAATGAGGGCTAGCTAACGGTGGTGAGTAGCCCTATACAGTGGTTTTTGAGGTTATTTAATGGACCGTCTCACATGAGGTGAGAGGTCCTGCTGGTGACTGGCGCTGCTGGGTTGCAAGCTGAAGGTTATGTTAATTGAGTGTTGTGGAGAACATGGTGCTCTTTAGGTTGTAGAGTATGTGTGACTTAGAGTTTGCACTTTTTTACTTTGAAGGATAATGTATTTATACGGGCCTCCAAGACCAAGGGTATTCTCCCTTTATGTGGTCTTAACCACTCCCTTCTTACTAGAGGAGGATATTGACCGCCTATCTTTCTGGAGTCAATGGGGATTCTTTCTTACTTGGTTCCCAAGTTCAAAGAGTCCCTATGGTGAGTCCTTTAGATTCCATCCAGGAGAAACAATTGTTGGACGTCTAAGACCTTACTAAATATAACGCTACACAGTCCCTCAAGCACAATGACTTTTCTTTGAAGGGCGAAGTGTTTAAAAACTAATGCCTCCTCTTATGAGCGTGCACATCACCCTATCGCTGGTTCCCCAACAGAGAATAATCTCACTTAATAAAGGTGCTTTTGTTAGCTACTTGGTTGAGAATCAAGATTGCATTGACTTTAGTGTTGTCCTTGGCGAAGAGCCAAAATCCCACCACACTGGACATTTTGCGGCGCCGTTGTAGTGGATTATGGCGGAAAAACCCGCAATATCAGTCAATATTTACCATTGCGGTGAGCCCAAACACCGCCATGCATTTCCGCCATAGGGCCACCATTGCAGATAATTGATAACACTTATTGACTTAGGATGGGTCACTGTTCATAAGGCCTTTAACTGTTATAAGCTTTAAGGAATATTTCTGTTTTGTTAAGAATTTTGGATGTTAGAGATGGCTGTGTTAGTAGAAATCAAATTCGATGCCTTAATTACATAGGTTTTATGCGCAGAGAGAGCTTATTACAGATGCAGCATACAAAGGCTGTGATGGTTTAAGTTTTGATTCGATGCTAGTTCTTGTTATGGATTTCTCCAATTAAGTACCGAGTATCTAATTTCAATGCAGCTCTTATTATCATACGTATGTTCAGTGGTGGGTTTTAATATGTAATGTTTTGTGATAGGGCCAAAACAGTAGGCCCAAGTGAGGAGTTGATCCAACATTAACCAGCAGTGTCCAAGGCGTGGCAAGTTTATTTTAGAAAGAAGTGCATATAATGCACTAGTGTAGTTAGCTATGAAAGAGGGAACCTTACAGTTATTAATAGGAAAGAAGAGGGGAGAGGAAATCTTATCTTAGAGAGAAATGGGTAGAGAGCACTAGCTCTCTTCAAGAAGGTTGCTCTGTGGTTGAGGAACCATTTCCTCGTTAAATCCTCATTTGAGCTCAATAATACACACTACTTTACTCATTTCTATCTTATTTTTTCTCTGTTTTGCTGTGATACTTTCTGGCTTCCTAACACTTCGATTGAGAACTTAATGTTGTAATGTAGCTACTAAATTCTAATGCATCTTTTGAAATAATGGTGTGGTGATTTAGAGTTGTGCTTCTACATCCTACAATCGTGCCATAATAATAAAAACTAACAAATCTAGCAAAAACACCAAGGCTTTTGTGCTTTTTTCAATTATCATACATTTCACCATCTATGTAAATGATCATATATAGTTTTGGGTGATATTACTATAACACAATTTTTCTCCTTTTGATGTTACTAAGATTTTATTTTAATTTTTGTTTAGTGCTGTTGTAGTTCAGAGGGTAATAATAGTATGATATGTTTTCTTAGTGTATATAGTTCTGCTTTTCTGTAAAAGAAAATTCTAGTACTGAAATTTTCAAATCTAATAGTGCTGAAATCTGAAAGCTGAGTCGGTATGTGTCTATCTTTCTTGTGCTTCAGAGTTTGTCACAGAGAGAAGAGAATGAACAAAGGTGGACCAGGCGGAAGTGGGCCCACTACGGCAGCGGCTGCAGCTGCGGCTCAGAAGCAGAAGACATTGTTGCAGAGTGTGGAAGGTGATATTGCCAACATTGCTGACAATTTCAGCCACCTCGTCACTGTTGCCAGGGTATGTATATATCTTCACTCTGCCTTCAATTGTATCCTACTAAGAACTCTCTTTCAGTATTTTTTTCTATTTTCACTTTCTGTAATTGCCAAATTTTTTACCGTGCCTTCAAGTGGAATAAAGCATGAACACTGAGTTGCCATGTGGATGTGGTTATTGGTACATAATTCATCCAAAATTTAATTAGTATGAAAATTGTTTTTGTTTGTGATCTTGAGTCCCATTTTGATACTACATGGATTTTGTTGATTTGATAAGTGATGATCCATGTACCGTGTAATTGCAT